AAAGGCTAAATATACCGCCCAACGATGCTAAAAAATTTTCCTTTTTTTAATTATATAAAATCTTAAAATAAATAATTGAATCCAAGTAAAATCATTTACCCAACAAATATAATTCATCAGCAATCGGTATTGTTGTCATTTGCATGAATGTACTGGATTTCATGAATACTCTTAAGATAGATTGAGTGTTCGAAATATTTTTACTGAAAATTATATATATATATATATATATATGTACATACACGCGCGCGCGCGCACACACACACACATGTATATATAGATATATAATATATGTATATTTGTAAAAACAATATTTTAACGCCCCCCCCCCACACACACACACACACACATACACGCGCGCGCGCGTCGTTATTTTTATTATAACTTACTATAGATGTGCGACGTTGAAATCGTGATTACCACTTAATTCAGAATAAGAAGTACTTAATTCATATTCTACATCCCAGCATGGAGTTATACATTCGCACGTATAATTTTCTGTAAGTGTATTTTGAATAATTCGTGTGTACTTTGCGTTTCTATAAAGACACGCGAAATCCTCCCAGTCACACATCTGCACACAAACATCAAAGTAACTCAGTTAAATTATTATTGTCAATTAAGTTATTAAATCAGTTAGTTAAGACGATAACTTGTGTGAAGAAAGGATTACTATAAAATGTCTTACCCTTAAAGAATATTTATTAGCTATAGGCGTGAAGTAATGAGGTATGCAATCACAATATTGAAGAAAAGCATTGATAGAACAGCTAGTAAAGCAGTTCGAATATCGATATGAAGGAAAATATTGTAATGTAATCTTCTCATCTGCACAATGTGGAACAATTTCACCGCGAGAATTTTCCTCATAATATCCGCTGAGTTTTTTCTTGACAAATGGAGTTATGGAAACCTATCAACGAGTCAAAGTAATCAGGTATTGTAGAAAATACTGAAAATATTGATTAAATATTTTTTAATAATTAACATTTATAAGAATCTTGTACTCGTATATAAAATATCTGATCACCCGTAATTCTTGATTTTTTTGCAAAATGATCCTGGTGGCTAGAGTGGCGACATATTCCAAAGGATGATGAGGAAACATCTATCTCCGAAAAAAATTAGATTATATAGATGCTTTTTTAAATATTTAAATTTAAATATTTAAATATTTGAAGAAATATAGTAATCCGATCAGTATTTATAAATCTAATTTTTTTCTTTAATATAAAAAAATAGAATTGTGACGTTAAAAAATGTTATATCAGTATGAATTTTGTACCACAACACCGACGGAATTTGTTGAATATTTAACATATTTTTCTTCTTCGGGAACATCCTCAACTAAAAAATCGCGATTTAGCACAATTGTAATACCGGATCTTGGTCCAAATAAAGAACTTGTACGAAGTTTGTCATAATCTACAGGTCTAGATTAATCAGAATAAATTATGAGATAATTATATTCTAATAATAATGTGATGATAAATTTATTAAACAAATGATATTACCTGCCGCTTTCTATGTAATCTTCAAGAACATAATTGAAGGAACAGCATATACCTGCGAAAGTGTATGACATTTTGAATAATTGATTACAATCCTGTACAACATCATCCCACATACAGATTTCAAACAAGTCTTCGCAAGGTCGTAAAGCTTTTACAAATTCTATTAATGTCATGTTATTTGTTTTAACAATGATCTTAAGTTTTTCACGTGTACTTTACCACCAGGAGCATCTTCATTCGCAAATGCT